TCTCTCTCTCTCTCTCTCTCTCTCTCTCTCTCTCTCTCTCTCTCACACACACACACACACACACACACACACACACACACACACACACACGCAGGCACACCCACACCCACACGGAAACAGGCTCAGCAAGCGGGCAACCGCACGCTCAGAAAGGGAAGGCAAGGGTGGCCGGCAACCCTCCTGCCGCACGAAGGACCTCTTGCCGCTCTCGCTCGCCTCCTACGCCCGCGATCCGCCGGCCCAACCGAGCGATCGAAACGAGGTGTGGAAAGGGAGATTCGCCCGCCTACCTGGCCTGCTACACCGGCGTCAGAGAGGAGAAAGACGAAGGGGGAGATAGACACAGAGAGAGAGAGAGAGAGAGAGAGAGAGAGAGAGAAGGGAAGATGGAGAGAAGGGAACAGGGAGAGGCAGCGAGGGGAGAAAGAGGGAAGGAAAGAGAATGAAGGAAAAAAGAAAAGGCAGGCAGAATCACGTATATTCCGACGAAGACGCCGCCGCCCAAAAGCAGCGACTCCCATAAGCAGCCGGCCGCATGTCAGACCTTCCCTGTTCCGCCACGTGTTCGTCCTTCAGCTGCGAGAGCTCTCAACGTCGGCGACGTGTGCAGTAAGCCGGCGCGCCTCCCCCGGCCACCAAGGACGCGGTCATCCTTCTCCCCCTCCTCCCCTCCTCCTCCTCCTCCTCCTCCTCCCCACCTCCCTCCACTCTTCACCGCACGCGCGCACGACCAGGTCTGGTCCTTCCAGCCCCTACAGTAAGCCCTCCTTCATCCTGGGCTTCCCCTTCCCCCCCTTCCCACCCTTCCACCCAATTCACCAGGACTCTCGGGTCCCAGCCGTGGGGTGACGACGATCCACCACCGTCGTTTCCCTCGACCCGCTCCCCTCTTACCAACCAGCACCACCTCTCCGCCCCTCCCACCCTTCCTATCTCTCCTCTCACGTCCCGCCCCCTCCCTGCTTGAACCGCCCAGGCAAGGACACCCCGACCCCTCCTATTCTGCTGCACCCTGACCCCTCCTATTCTGCTGCACCCTGCCCCCTCTCCCCCCTGTTGGTGTTACCCTTAGCCACCTCACATACTTCCGCTCGCTCGCCTACCTGTAGTGTCAACGGGCGGCGGGCTACCAGTAGCAGGCTCATTGGAAAGGGGCAACCCTTCCCGCAAGAACCGCAGAAGAACGCCCCTACGGGGACGTACTCGAAATTCCGACCTCCAGCACACCGAGGGTTGGCACGCCGTGCCTTCGACGCGCCCCCCCGTGACCCGTTACCGCCGCTTCCCTCTATATATATAAACCACAGCCTGCAGTCGTTACTGACCTGAGTCTGCAGGAACGATCAATCTCTTCCGTCCGATGTCCTGGGAGTGTCAATCCTTGCCATGAACCCTTAGGGTCAATCTTCTTTCCCGACTTCCCGCCGGCGTGTGCGACCAGCAGAGATGTGACGGCCGTCTTCAGTCCGCCATGTCCTGTGCGCCACCCTCCGACTCATAATGCACTGCACAAGGCTTTGACACGAGGCAAGGTCCCAGTTGCACAAGCTCTCCATTTCCGGCCACCGATGATTGCAATCGACAGCCAAAAATGAAGAATGCGGGCACTTGGTACCCTCGCCCCGACCTAACTTCACGTGTCTGGCGCAGGCTTGGCACTTCTCTAAAGGTGGCAGTTGGACCGGATAAAAGGCATTTCCAGTTAGAGCCCTCCATGAGTGCGAGCAACAGGGATCCGACGGCCTCCACCATCCAGAGGGGTCTCCTCACTTCCGAGACACCCTTACATTCTATCTCTGTAGTATAGTGCATGCCTAGCATTCTCCACATCTGGTTCTTATCCTGTTGGTGTACTGATTGAATCCATTTTGTGGATGCTTATGTTGAAGGAATACATACTGCCCGTATCTGTAGTATTCTTATGTGAATGCATACTTCTGATATTCCGGTATCTGTAGCATACTTATGTGAATGCATACTTCTGGTATCTGTAGTATAGTATACTTATGTGATGCTTATGTTGAAAGAAGACATACTTCCTATAGCTGTAGTATAGTGCATGCCCAGCAACCCCATCTATTCGAGTAGAAAAGGTTACTACAAAAATGCGATTTTTTCTTTTAGAAAACTAAGCTATATTCTTCTGGCAATGTACTTGCAATCTACCCCATCTTTTTTCTTTTTTTTTTTCTTTTTTTGGAAGGGCGTCCGACTAACCGGCCCAGGTAAATTCAATCTTGTGTCTAATCTGATAACGGGTGGTCTTTTCAGCCCAGGGTGGCCTTATTGCCTTCAGGGAACCCCCAATGGGGGACAGCCGGTAGCAGAGGGACTGAGCATCATCTGAGTGGCCAGTCATGCCTCCCCGATTACCCCTCCCCCTATGAACATCAGCAGAGACTGCTTTTTAATGCCAATTGGGGGGACCAATGGGCTATCTCTAGGTGGTGGGTGCCAAGCATGCCCAGGAAGGTACATGAGGCCAATAGGGATTAAACCCAAGACCTCCTGAATGCCACTTGCGTGCCTTACCAACTGAGCTAGGCCGCTGATCATCTATTCTTTTGGAAAAGGGTACTACAAAGATCCGATTTTTTATTCTTTTGGAAAAGGGTTACTACACAAATCTGATTTTTCTTTGAGAAAACTAAGCTATATACTACACAAATCCGATTTTTCTTTGAGAAAACTAAGCTATATTATTCTCTCCATCTATCTATGTATTCATATATCTCATCCTCTCGGTAGCCTATGTATAGTAGGGGGAAACACCAACCAACCCAGATCTCTCCCCAGTTCACGGGGTAGGTTTGCACCACATCAAAAATCCAATTTCGACTATCCAAGGTAAAAGTGTGAAAAAGATTCGGATAACCCACCAGTGTATCCAAGCCATTTTTATACGGTCCAGTGGCCTAGCTCAATTGGTTAGGCACGCAAGAGGCATTTGGGAAGTCGTGGGTTCAATCCCCATGGATGCATGTGCTACGCTTGGTGCCAATCCAGTGACCTAGCTCAATTGGTTAGGCATGCAAGAGCCATTCGGGAAGTCGGGGGTTCAATCCCCATGGATGCCTCTGGTATGTTTGATGCCAACCAGCGGGGGGGGAACCTATTTTTGTACGACGAACATCCACAATGATCCAATGCATGGTCTATGATCCAGACGAATGGTGGGTTGTATGAAATGTGGAATTGAACTTGGGGTTTAAGGTACGAACATTCTAAGCCTCGATACAGCGGTATTCTTTCAAAGCTACACCACAGTAAAGGGTGTTCACCTCAAAGGACAACCATGTATGAATCGAATTCATATATAACATACATCTTTTTTTTTTTTTTTTTTTTTTTTTTTTTTTTTTTTTTTTTAAGTGATAGTTATTTATGTTTTTTTTTTATATTGGTGGTCCAACGAATAAGAAACTCCCTATAAAAAATTGAACGGTTAAGAGCATTCTAAAATTTTACGTCTATGAGTTTGCTCTGTATTTTCTTATCGCAAAAAGACACAAATATCATAATCTTATTCTCCACCAATGATGTTGCGTCTATCATATGTCAAGTGTTAATGCATATACACTCGTACATTCACTCTCAATCCGATATACACACGTAAAAAATAACATTTTATTAATATAAAAAAAAAAATTGTGAGTCAGATATAAGTTTGAGTTTTTTTGCAAAAATCTAACATGGCTGATAGACTTCGTATACCAAGTATAATTCTGAGGTCTGCAATATCAACACATAATTGAAACATAATTGCTTAAACCACCACCACCTTCATTAGTGTTGAAAAAAAATGGGAAAAATGGTTAACTGATGTAACTGATAGATGGTGGAAGATACACAAGCGAGATCAAAACTCATGACAAGCAAAGATAAAAAAACTCATGTATATTCACGTACAAGGTACGAAAATACACAAATACAGAAGATTGCATGTCGGTTGGGATATGGCTCCCCGACCGGTTTCGACCGTAGCCACGCGGTCATCCTCAGGGGGTTTCCACCATACTACTCCCTTCATCAAAGCCCATCGTTCCTCCAACCCACCTCCGTCGTTGACCCACTAAACATCTCTGAAAACGTTCAGCGGTCATCCGCGTCGGACCCAAAAAGACCAAGAGTCACGCAATCATCCCTGATATAGCCTCCTATTCCGCAGACACTCCTTAGCAACACTATCGAAAAGTCAAGAATAGTCTCTATCCCACTAATAAACCTAATCACGTGAGTTCATCTACTACCAACTGACAGTGCATGCACACTTGCCGGGGACTGTCTCGGGTACCCTGTCGAAGAGTTCATAAAAAACTGGTCTCAGAGGAACAGCATACATACGTCAAATATACCCTATACCGGCCCAAGGCGAAAAATGAACCAAAAATACGAAGAGAAGAACAAAAAAGACAAAATCCAAAACAGAAAAGCAGACAAAACAAAACTGCATGTGAAAACCAGCCTAAACCTCGGGCTACTTTCGTCCGCATCGCTCAACCCTGTCCCTATATGCAAGACCCAGATTAAACCATATGCAGACTACAACTCTTTGACCTCAACGCAGCCCACCCTGTCCCTGCATGTAGGACTCAGACGACACATCATTGAGTACTCATTATTCCTTACCCTAGTGCGATTCACCCTATCACTGCATGCTAGTACCCAGATCGGTAACCCAGCGCAAGAACCCAGTTTGGTAACCCAGCGCAGCGCATCCGGTCTCAACATCATACGCCGTTATCCATACACCTATTTCAAAAAGCTGACAGCCTACAGTACATAACTCCTGGGCACCCAGTACAATGACTAGCCAGGGTAGAGCCAGCTCACAATCGAGCTCCAGATTTTATCCCAGCCCTTGGCAAAACTTTTGATTACCCGCTCCACAAAAAGTGGTGGGAAGTCCTTCATCCTCAATTCTCTGGTCAAACTCAGAACTTGCATTGTAATCCTTGAGCGCACATTGGTGTTGTGATCGATCCTATGCAGATGGCTTGCGATGACTGTATTTTTTTGTTGTTTGCTACCCCACGACCTGAACAATTGGCCATTTTTGAATTCCAGCACACTTTCGTGCCAGATGGTACGCTCATTCTTAGCCAACTGGAAACATGTCAAATGTGGCTAAAGCAGATTCACACTCATGCGTGTCCCCAGAAAGTCTCATGATTCGGACTCATCGTCTGTCCTTTTTAGTTGCAGATTTTATGGGTAGCATCGTTAAAACATCAGACAAATCTGCTCAACAAACCTTTGACTTTGTCTTCGGTGTAGTACCACCAAGCTCACGTCGTCCATCAGGCGAATTCCAAACACGTCCCGCCTAGCATTACCCAGATCACACATAAATTTGTACTCCGCGTATGCACACATGATACAAGTTAATGGTGGTCTTATACTTTTGCCTATGGGGATCCTCACAACTTGCCTTAGCAGAATACCCGTCGCTCTGGTATAGGTATGTTTCAGCTATAGGCTGACGAACTGCCTCACTTGCTGCAGATCCAACGTCCGCTAGTGATCGTCCCCTGGTGTAAGCCCAAATGTACATCCCTTCCCCCGTGTATTCACTCGCACCGATTTCCTCCTCTTCCCCGAATGGTAATCCACAATCCAGTTTACTGCATCCATAATTTCATCGTGCGGTAACTTGCTAAACATATCTTTGATGTCGTAAGACCTCGCCGACAACTCAGAACAAATCCCTATTCTTCTTCCAATCTTCCTATTGATAAGATCCAGTTGCGGTACTAGGGACGCCACAGACTTGAGGTTGAAGTGTCAATCACTCGGGAGTATGTAAAGCATATGATTACGTGTTTTTGCCACCAACCTACAAGTTTTCACTGTCGGTTCAGAGAACGTAGGATAGATGGGACGAAATCGGGTGAGGTCCTTATGCTTAGGTAGAGCATAAGCCTCCCCAATCCTCCCCTTCTTATCCCATTTCAGAAATTGCGCAAGTCCAACCCTCGTGGCTTCCTGTCTTGCGTCACTTTCAAGTCCTCCGCCTGCTCCGCAATCACAACGTACCCAGGACTTGCTACAAACAACTCCAACATAGCTTCATAGTAAACCTTCGGACAGAGAACCGGGGTTTCCCCAGGGTTCCTGTCCAAAGGTGTGCACACCAACCCTGTGAGCTTCGCCTTCAAACGGTACACTTCCACTGTGTCAAAGAACTTTGTCTTCACATCTGGTACTGCAGTCATACATGCTTCCGCCTCGTCCCTTCTAATCTCCAAACTCGGTCCTCGATAGTTCGCCAGTTCTCCAAGCCGCTGGTGATCTCTCGCATAAGCAAAGTTCCCCTATCCGAGTGGGTGAGTTTAGGTACGTTATTGGCGTTCACCATAAGCGGGAGAATCTCCTCCAACTCTTGCAATCTCGCCTGCACATGATCTCCTATCCGAGGATACGGAAAACTTGAACGTGCACAAGTGCAGGTATCCCCTTCATCTCGGGCGTAAGCCCGCTGGTTGTGTATCAAGTCCATCACCGAAGGGTTCTTCACCCATACGATGCGGACTCCAATACGTGCAGAGTTCTTCATGCAGTCTGGAATGTTCAAAGCCTCGATTTTGTCGTTGAGGAGTTTCCTAACTTCCACCATTCGGATCCAGTCATCGAATTTAAGTTTCACCGTCACTATAGAGATTACGCTCCATCCGTAGTCACTCTTAACCACCCTGCTAATTAATCGTCTCAAGTAGGCCGTCGAAGATGCTTTCTGGAAATCTTGGGCCGCACTCATCAGTCTCACCAGAACTTATGGACTGCACGTATGCAACGCTTCGATCCGTCGTGGATTACGAAGGATAAAAACCAAAAACTTCTTATCCAGATTAATCTTCGGCTTCTACCTCTGTAAGTGCTTGATAACTACCTAAGTACCACTCTCCATATCCTGTTTGCTCTGAAACAGTTTCAAGTTACATCTCCGTCCATTCACCTTCACCTCCGATTTACCATAGCTCGATCGAATGGACTTCCAACCACCGCACCAGCAGCTTCCAATGCTTGTGTAAATAGTGAAGCTCGTATGACCTGCTAATTCCTGTGTGGATAAAATTTGGTACAGATTAACACTCCCCTCATCAACTTCACTCAAGCTTACCCTCACTGGGTGGACTGGTGGCGACGTCTGATCAACCTACCGCTGACATACATCCCTCACCCTCTCCCTTCGTCCTTTCCTCCTTCGTCTCGAACCCTCTCTAGTCGTTGACTTCCCCGTAGTGTTTAGTGTCGGACACCATCGACGTATATACATTCCCTCGATTAGAGCTAGGTCCGTATGTTGGCAGCGATCCACTGGGATCAGTACATAAGATTCTTCCCCAAACGACCTCCACCATCTATACAGTTGATTCGTTTTACGACCTCGATTGCATACAGATAAGTGTTCATTCCAATGTACGTTCCCATTTCTAGCGGTCTGTCCGACATATTGCGCCCGACACAGCAGTGAGGTCAGAATGTATACACAACCAGCATCATGAGTAAAACATATCATGCCATATCGCTGATATAACTCCAGCCAGGACGCGACACACTTTTTGAGTTAGCGGATCTCATCATACAAAGTTAGGGTAATAACTACCAACTTATATAGCAATTTCACTTTCTCATCGTAGATATCCTGACGACGGGATTCGATCAAGCATCCACATAGTGCCCACAACTTACTACATGTTCATGCTCCGCTTTCGGCATCTTCCTCGTCGCCTTCATTAGCGTCCTCCGAGTCAGCCCCTGCTTCCTCGCCGATGGTTTGCCCTTCCTCCTCGCCGTAAGCCATTTGCGTCCGTTTCTCAGTAATCGCCATGATTGCTTGGATCTTCTTACAGTCGTAGTTCACATCTTCAGCTAGGAAGATATGCTTCAACTCCTCGACATTCAACTCCCCCAATTGCCTGAGGTTATCCGTCACAAACTTAAACTTCCCCACGGATCTCAGTGTCGTCGGGATCTTTCTTTTACCTGTCATCGGAGTTTTTCGAGTTGGGGTCTTTTTCATCGGTGGGTGTCGGCAACCAAGTTGGAGTCGTCACTTGGCAACGCGCTTCGCCGGTGTCTGCATGGGAGGACTATCCCCCACTGGCTTCTCGGTACTCCATGTGCGTTTCTCGGTGATAACGAGTTTCTCCGTTTGGCAGCTAAGCGTATCGACATCACTGTCATAAAATTCGGCATAGTCATCATCTGATGACGACACAACTACTCGTTGTTTCCCTTTCACTCGCGCCTTCACATCCCGTTCATATCTGCTTTGTAACGATTCGCCCAACCGGCCCATATGGAGAGAGATTTCCATCAGCATTTCCTTTCTCAATGCCTCTCTTTTCTCCATCTCCTTCCTTAACTTCTCCTCTTTACGTTCGGCCTGTCGAATAGTCGTTTGGCGTGCTTCCTCAGTTGTTAGTCTTTCTTCTTCGTCTCTCTCCAATCGTTCCTGTTTCTCCATTTTCCTCTTTTTCTTCTCCTCCTTCTCCGATTTCACGACGTCAAGCCCTTCCTTCATGGTTGCTACCGCGAGTTCCTCAATCTGCCGCTTTAACGCCGGATCTTCCGAGGCCGCTCTTGGTGCTAGCGCACGTGTATGCTATCATGGTGACAGTGATCTCCCTCGTTGGCGTGCATACCTTACGCTTCCTTCTCCTCCCAGTTTTGGACACCGATTCCTATTGTGACCTGGCTCACCGCATTCGTAACACACGGGCACGAAGCTCCGGGGAGCATCATCACCTCTCTCTGGCTGACTCGAGCTCCCTCGCTCCCACGGACGCTCCCGTCGTCCATCGCCTTGGCGATCACTGCTTCCTTCCTGGCGTACGTAGTCACGTCCTCGGTCGCCACCCCGTTCTCGCCGATTGTCACGTCCATAGTCGTAATAGTTAGATCCACCCATCCTAGGTAGGATGTAGCACTCCTCCGTTCCTCCTCAAAAAATTCATCAAATACTCGAACTTTCGTCAAACAAGACTCCAATATCGCTCGTCATCTAGTCGCTAAACCGTCCCAGAAAGAGCGTCCTCACCAGGACCTCAATACACTTCTTCGAACATTCAAACACTCAACAAGTTCATGTTCACACTCACTCAGCGTCTTCTAAGTGGGTTCACACGTGCCTTCAGAGGTAACTAATAGATGGTGGAAGATACACAAGCGAGATAAAAACTCATAACAAGCAAAGATCAAAAAGCTCATGTACATTCACGTACAAGGTACGAAAATACACAAATACAGAAGATTGCATGTCGGTTGGGATATGGCTCCCCGACCGGTTTCGACCGTAACCACGCGGTCATCCTCAGGGGGTTTCCACCATACTACTCCCTTCATCAAAGCCCATCGTTCCTCCAACCCACCTCCGCCGTTGACCCACTAAACATCTCCGAAAAAGTTCAGCGGTCATCCGCGTCAGACCCCAAAAGACCAAGACTCACGCAATCATCCCTGATATAGCCTTCTATTCCGTAGACACTCCTTAGCAAATACTACGTTACCCTCACACACTATCGAAAAGTCCAGAATAGTCTTTATCCCACTAACAAGCCTAATCACGTGAGTTCATCTACTACCAACTGACAGTGCCTGCACACTTGCCGGTACCACTTATTTCGGAGAATGTCCCGGGTACCCTGTCGAAGAGTCAAAAAAAAACTGGTCCCAGAGGATCAGCATACATGCGTCAAATATACCCTATACCGGCCCAAGGCGAAAAAGGAACAAAACATACGAAGAGAAGAAAAAAAAAGACAAAATCCAAAACAGAAAATCAGACAAAACAGGACAAAACAAAACTGCATGTGAAACCCAGCCTAAACCTCGGGCTACTTTCGTCCGCATCGCTCAACCCTATCCCTATATGCAGTTGGGTCGGCGGAGGCTCGACAGTTGGGTCTTCTTGGCTTCTTTGAAAATAAAAAAGAAAAACAAAAAACCAGGTCCAGGAAGGTCGTGCACGAAGTAGTGCTCACACCAATACTCACAAGAAAGTATCCAACTACGATTGTGGTGAGTTTCAGATTCTAATGTTTTTTTTTTTTTCATGCCCTGCCAGGGAGGCACGGCGTAGTCCACGGGCTGCTAACATTTTTGAAGGAGAGCATGCCCACACTACAACTTTGCAAAATGTATGAACCCGCTCCCGCCCTAAATTCAGTTTTAATTTTATTTTTTATTTTTTTTGGTATCTGATATCCCTGTCGTAAAACCCTCACTTAGGGCATGATGGCATAACAAGGGTAGGTATCTACCTTATATCACGTCCAGAGAGATGTTCTTTTTTTTGTCAGTACGTTGTTGTTTTTTTTAAGTATGGCCTTTTTTTTTTTTTTTTTTTCAGAAGAGTACTAAAAACGAAACACAACGGATCAAAAACTCGGTAAAAATTGGTGCGCGGTGAAAATCAGGGTCAACAAAAACAGACTCGGAGGTAGTGGTGGTTTAAGGTCAATACTTTAATATTTTGGTTTCACAATTTATTAGGCTAATGAGAGTTAAATAATATATACAATTATTCAAGTTTTAACGTTTAAACCACCACTATCTTTCTAAGTTGTAGTCTTATTTGGGAAAATGAACTCAACCGCAAATTTTATGGGTCTGGTGGAGGGTCAGCCTCAGTCTTTCATAAAATAAAAAAATTGAAAAAATTACGACTTTGTCGGACCCGCTTGTCAAAACGAAGAAAAAAAAACGAAACAGTACCTCCACTTCCACAATGTCGGGGATTTTCGTAACATTGTTTGTACTCACACCACTATTATGACGAATGTATGTGGCCGAAAGGGAAAAAAATGTGGTGTCGATTTATTTTTTTTTTTGCAAATACCTAAATGATGTTAGAAAGGTCATGAGATAATCATTCTCACGCTCGTACTGTGTGAAATGTATATGACCACAATCATGACTAAAATTGGGTAGTACTTTTATTTTATTCTATTTTATTTTGAATTTGATGGCCCTGGCGGTGAGGCTCGACGTTTTACACGCTGTGTTAAAAACTCTCATCTGAGGGTATACTCACACTAAAATTGAGAAAATGAATCTAACCTATAACATGATCAAATAACTATTTTTTTTTTGTCTTCTTCTTTTGTTTTCATGGATGTATCCTCCTCCCACAAACTCTTATCTTATCTTTGAGGTACCAAAAATTAAAAAATTTCACTATTTCTTCAGACTCTGCAAAACTTGGCTCATAGGTTAAATCAGGGTCGAAAAAAAGAGGCTCGAAGGTAGTGGTGGTTTAAACGTTTTTCTTACAATATATCCGTTTAAGTATTTTTTAAATACAAAATGTCGATTTCAAAGTTTTCCTGTACAATATGCGAATAATGTTCAACAATGAAAATTTTATATAAAACCATTACTTTTATCACTTTTAAATAATTTTCTGAATTACGCATTTTATTACCAGTGCACAATCCTCACATAGGATTGTGGTCATGTGGGATAAAACTTTAAAATGACAAGTGGTTTCATTATCACTCCACCACGTTGTCGAGCGCATCGGCCCCCGCATTTTTCGCGAAGGCGGGAGCCCTCCTGACCATGTAATACAAGAGTAAGAACAAAACAAAGCAAGAGACAACTCGGGGACAACATTTTCATAATCCCACAAACCAATGAGACGGATGTGGTGATGTTGTCCTCTTACCGCTATAGTTGGGTGCACCAACAATACATTCCCACAAGCGGTTAACGGGTAGCTGAAAATTCAGGAATGGAAATTATGAAGTGAGAGTTTTTAACAGTTTGAAAATCCTAAATGGTGATGAAGTGGTGAAAGGTCCGAATACCCTGAAAACCACCTGTTTAGGCAGGTTGCATCCTGAAGTGGGGAAGTGAGAGTTTTTGGCAGTCTGAAAATCCTAAATGGTCCTGAAGTGGTGAAAGGTCCGAAGACCTTGAAACCACTTGCTTAGGTAAGCAGCATCCTGAAGTGGTGAAGGGTGTCTTAAGGTGATGAAAGGTCCGAAGACCCTGAAAACCACCTGTTTAGGCAATTTATATCCTGAAGTGGTGAAGGGTGTCTTGAAGTGGTGATGAAAAATACGATTGTTGTTAACATTCTCTCTACATTCCGCTGTCCCCTACGACAGGATAGGTTCCCGCCGGGTACAATTTACCTTCCCTAAGGGGCAATCACCACAGTTAGGGGCGTATCCCTACCAAGCTATTGACCCACATATGAAAGTTTTTAAATGCAATTACAGACGTAGGTCAGCCGATGTTGTTTGCTCGTTCGCTGCAACATATGCATGCGTGGTTAAAATGCGCACTGGACCCGAACGTCGCTCGTTCCCTAGGGCGCCGATCTCCTAAGTGCGAAGTGAACCTCAGTCGACAAGGACGGTTTCAACCAAGCATGAAACCAACAACTCAATCCTAGTCCTTGAACACACAACTTCGAAAAAAACGAGGTTACACAATAATCAAGTATAAATATAACGAAATGAACCAACTATTAGTTGATAGGGAAATACATTCGAATTCATAATGAGTTTAATTGATAACTAAAAGTATTTAAGCATAAAATGTTGAGGAAAATAATACAAGATCAAAGTAAAACCGACAACCTCAGGTCGAACTACAACCTCAGGTCGAACTACAACCTAAGGTCGAACTAAGTAAGTAAAATACTATACTAAACCGCCAACCGAGAGTTGGTTTGGACAATAAACTCGACGGACCCAGCAAGGTAGTCAAACTATTTCCGTTTTGACTTGATGAGACACAATGTTGAGGTCATTTATTCCAGTCTACCACTGACCTAACACTGAGTATCCGCTCATATCACCATGTATAAACAGTCTCATTGGATGGCAAACCACTTAAGCGAATGATAATTGATCAGGTGGGTTACTCGAAGCGTTACATGTCCGACAAGGATCTCTTGATTGAACCATTTTTCTTTGTACTGGAGATTCGCAAATGCCATTGTCTTTGCGCAAGGATAATAGTTGTTTGATTTATCCACCTCTTGTCCACACTTCTTGTGGTGCGAACCCCATCTGCACAAGTGACGCTTACATGTGCCCAATTCAAACTAAAGTCCCATTGGACTGACAACAGAAAAAAAATCGGTAAGATGAACACGTTTATAATTTTGCATAATCATTGATTTACCGAGAGCATAATTTAATCTGACTTTAAACAAATTAAATTATTATTAAAATTTTATGGATAGTTTTTTTAATGTTTATCAATGTGATTCAACTCGTTTCAATATGTTTTAATATGTCTCAACATGTCTCAACATGTCTCAACATGTTTCATCATGATCAAACTTGTTTCTTTTGCTTTTAACTATCTGAGCGGTGTGCATCTACATTAAAAAAAAAAAAAATCAGGTTTTATCTATGATATATAAAACTCCGATGTAGTTTTCAATTTGGTTGGGGGAGGGGGATGAGATGATGAGGCGAGATACATATGATATGTTTGTTTATACATTTTGGCAATATAGCAATATAAAAAAAAATCAGGGCGAGAGGTTTTGTGTAGGTACATTTTCTATGTCTACGCCACCATTGTCTTTAA